CCGGCAGCAGCCTGAGGGCTTCCCCAGGTCCCTTCAGCTGAGGCTCCCTCGCTGTCCTGCCCCAGCCACACGCCGGCCGGGACCAGGCTCCACTCAGGCCTCCAGACCTCACGGCTAAGGGCCTTCCCCAAAAGACGAAACCTGCGCAGCACTTAATTTCTGAAATACTCAGAGAAAGTGGGAAAAAATAAATAAAAGTGAAGTGAAACATAAAGGGGCCAACCCGTGCCCGAGTCCAGGGACCTGGGGCACAGCATAAAGGCACGAGACTGCAGTTAAGGATGTCACCGCTGAGCGGGGAGGACAGTGACACTTCACCAAACTCAGAGTCGAAGAGACTTCTGTCGGGTGGGAAGTAGGCTGAGCCCTGGAAGGACTGACGGTCCGGGGCCCGTGGGACACGTGAGCAGCTTCCACGTGCCTCCCAGGAGGGGAGGGGCCTGTTTTCACCCGGCCGGCCCGCCGCTGGGAACACTGAGCACTTTTGTGCAAGAACAAAAGACACAGCCTTTCAGATGTTCAGACGAGTCTTCGTGTAAGTAGAGAACGTGCCTCAGAAAGAACATCTGGACGCCCATCCGCCACCACGGCTGCTCCAGGTGAGCGGGTTTCCGGGGAAGGACAGGCTGAACCTCACACAGCTCTGATTTTTGTAAGAACTGTGATGCTTTCACAAATAAAAGCAACCTATGGGCTAAAAGTAAAATTTGCTTCTAATAGAATATTTTACTCAAGCAGATTCTTAATGGTAAGTCGGGTATATTCATGCCCAGAGTCTGAGCCCAATAAAACCAATCGGGCAGGTTGCTATGGAAACTCCAAACCTGAACTCTCTGCCTTTTGGCCAACACATCTTGTCAATACCACATAACAGGTTTTTTTAATTTTTTAAAATATATCTTTATCGATTTCAGAGAGAGAGAGAGACAGAAACATCAATGATAAGAGAGTCATGGATGGGCTGCCTCCTGCAGGCTCCCGGCTGGGGATGGAGCCCGCAACCCAGGCCTGTGCCCTGACCGGGAATCGAACCCCGATCTCCTGGATCCTAGGCCGACGCTCAACCGCTGAGCCACGCCCGGCCAGGCAACAGGGTTTTTTTTTAATTTCAAGAATTTAATTTTTTTCCAAGTCCCGGTGTACGGATTCTTGGCTTTTTAAAGATTTTACACGCTAGCCGAGAATCAGCAAGAGATTATTCACATGTATAGACGTGTCCTTGAGCCTCCCTGCCTCAAACGTGCTCTATTTTCAAAGCAACGAAACCATTTGACCCAACTTTTTCTAGGCCTGGCAATGTGTGCGCCAACCCGAAGCTTTCGAATGCTGAGCAGCGTCTTGCTTGAGGCGTTTCTGGTATTTTATTTTTTAAATTATTATTATTCGTTAACCCTCACCTGAGGATATTTATCCCATTGCCTTTTTTTTTTTTTTTTGAGAGAGAGAGAGAAACATCAATTGGTTGCCTCCTGCATGTGACCGGACCAGGGCTGGGAGTCCAACCTGCAACCCAGGTACATGCCCTTGACCGGGAATTGAACCCGTGACCCTTCACTGCAAGGACTGACGCTGAGCCACCCTGGCCAGGCTCTGGGGTTTTATTTGGGTGGGTATACTTCCACAGCAACCAGGCCATATTTAACAGACGATAATTGGCTACGTGAAACACAGCAAAAAAGTGAGGAAACTGGCTATGGCCTTGGCTCTGTGTTTAAATCTGGGCTGTCCCACTCACCAGCCGTGTGACCTTGGCCAAGGCCCTTCGCTTCTCCACATCTGAGGGCAGGGCTATAGAGTAAGGTGGCTAACAGGTTTTACTTAAAGATCCAGGGCACTTAGCACATTGTCCAGCTCACAGAAATCATTCAAAAAAAAAAAAGCGTATTCCTAACATTCCCCCAGGCTCACAGCATTTGCAGGTTGGCAGACGCGGGGCTGGAAATCTGAGATAATTCGAGCTGACCAGGGCCTTGCTCACAGGTCTTTTCCTGAGAAACCTGCTGCCTGGGGATCCGACTCTCCCAGGCTGATCCAGAGCAGCTCGACCTTGGGGTCCAGCCAGACGGGGGGCCGTGACCTCTGTGGAGGCTGTGACTTCTGTGACCTCCTTTGCATGGGCAGCCCTGTTGCTCGTTTTAAACTTATTTTTTTGTGTTTTACTTTTTTCTGTTCTCTATTTTAGATTATCCTGACTCATTGCTTTAAATCTTCCATTCCTAACTGGTATTATTTCATTGTATTTTATTCTTTTGATTCGCCTCCTACCTTATTTTAAGCAGTGTATCACTTTCCAGTATGTATTTTGTTTTAATAGTGGGTATACTTAGTTTTTTAAGTGTATCCTTTCAAAGCCTCAGCGGTGCCTTTGTTTTTGTCACAGTTGTTACTTGTTAGTTTTCATTTTTCAGTACTTTTTCCTTGTGTATTTTTGAAATTGCCATTTCTAAAAACAGTATTAACCTATATTATTTTTTCCACTCGCTGAATAATGGGTGAACTGTTAGGAGCAACGTGGTAAGACGAGGTCATGTGTTAAAGCAAAGACGACTGAGTTTTCCTCCTGTTTGCCCTGAAAGGGTTGGGATATTGGAGATTCGGGCGGCGGCACATCTACTATGACCAGCGGAGTGTAGAGGAAGGGAAGCTGCTCCGCTTCTGAGCTGATCCGTTTAAACGAGAGAAACCGGCGCTCCGGCCCGTGGGGAGCACGAGACCCGGACGGTGGCGCTCCCGCCTCCTGATCGCTCCTCCTCCCTCCTCTCAAAGCCGGGGCTCTGGGCCCGCTTCCTAAGGTAAAACTGCACGTTCATTTCAATGGGTTTTAGTTCCTACAAAATCAGTTGGCTGAGATCCAGAGTGTACCAAAAAAACAACAAAGACAGGTGGTGGCCTTGGAAAGGCCCCGGGGAACTCGCCTGGCGAAAGCTCCTCGCTGATACCAAGCTCCCCCCAATGACAATTTGGCTCAGCTGCGCGGGGCCCAAGCAAACGGCGAGGTTTATGCAGAGCACCTGCTGTCCTCCAGGGAGCTGGGATCCTGGGTCACGCAAGGTGGAGGGAGCTCACGGGACCGGCCCCCCATAATAAAGGGGGGCATAGGGGTGAAGGGATTAAAAAGTACTAACTGGTAGATACAAACTAGTCGCGGGCATGTAAGGTACAGCATAGGGAGTGCACTCGATACTGTAACAACTGTGTGCGGCCAGGTGGGTGCTGGGGTTATGCGAGGGGTACTTTGTAACCTACATGAATGTGTATCTGCGGCCCATACACCTGAAGCTAATACAAACAAGTGCTGAATGCAAACTATAATCAAAATAAAAGCAAAAACAAGATACATCTGATAAACTGTTGCCCCTCAACCTGAAGTTGAACGTAAGTGCAAACATCGCAGTGGGACCATTCCTACGTTCACTACCTTGTCCTGTTTGTTGTCCAGCTTTTTAAAAACCATTGGTCAACTTGCTCTGGACCCGAGGGGAGAAAGCAGTGATGCAACTCTCCGCGGTCCCAGTGGCTTCGGTTAAAGCGGGACGTGGCGAGTGGGAAGGTCAGTCAGCTTATGTTTGTTTGTCGCTTCACAACCAGCTCCAATCACTGGGTTTTGCATGAAAAGTAGACTTTCAATATAAGTTTCTACTTGCACTCACCAAAAAAAATTTAAAATTCTCTAGAAAAGCTATTTTCTCCTTGATATGATTATCATAATTCAATCCATAGAGAAGGAACGGGGTGGGAATATATTAACATTTCAATTCAGCTCAAAATAACTTAATACCATTATTTTCCACTTTCCTGCTGACGGGTGCCTCAGCCCCGACGCAACCCACCTGTAAATAAAGGACTTTTCTCCCGTACTGTAAATTGCATCTTGCTGTAGTTGGAAATCTCCCTAATCTATCTCTGGGGAGACAGGCCATCAAGAGCCAGTTCTTGCTCTGCCGAGTGCTGCAGGGACCGCAAGGCTCTCCCAGCGTCATGAGGGCACTTGGGGAAAGAGCACGTTCTTCTCTGACACGAAACACCAGAGGCCTGCTCAGTGTATGGGCCAACCATTGACTTGAAAAGAGACTTTTACTATATCGATGGTTTCGTACGTCACCGAGGAAACATATGAGAGAACACTTTTGAAAATACATCTGTGGAGCTTACTGTTGGCCAGTTCATGTTCCTGCTGTTTGAATCCAGCTGAATATATGTGTTGCCTCACCTCTCCAGGTGTGTTGACATCTAAGGGTAACCAAGGAAACTCAGTGGCCCGTAGGTGGGAAATTTGTTGATACTAGTTCATTTTTTTTTTTTCCCCCCAGTAAGAACTAAATCTGTCAAAAAAGACGTTCTGCCCTTCTAGACAGGTTCGTGAATTCACAGGGAATCTCCTCTAAGATGTGGTCCGATGACAACCTCGGTCCCCGGCTGTCCCAGGCAGTGAGCAAGGACAGCTGAGTGGTAGGTTCCCAGCTCAAGGAGTGAGGCGACCTTCCCGCCCACAGCTTTTCCCAGGGGTCCTGAAAAAATTTAAGAGACAAAAGAGGAGGGAAGAGCCTCAGAGACATCACAACCCAGAGAGATCCAGTTGAATACATAAAATAGCTCCAATGTTTCTTCCTCCCAAGCTGATTTCTTTCTTGTGTATCATTCACCGTCATAAATGACCAAGCAGAACCCAAAACACTGACCACCATCAGTGTTTTATTATTAGAACAGAAAAGTACGGAGAGAAAAACAGCAAGAAACCAACATTATCTGATGTCTGTGACATTCAGTCAGATGTCTTAGTGGTCCTTGTCCTGTATTTTTAGGAAGTGACCGTGGCCTGGACAGTCAATAAAAGACAAACTGAAAATCCAGGATGGAGACCTCGAGAAACTCGATGGAAAGAACCAACCAGACTGGATTGGATCAAACATTAAATCATAAAGAGATTTCAGCGCATTAGTGACTCAAAATCCAAATTAGAAAAGCCAGGGAAAATGTGAATTGCAGAAAACGTTTATTATTAGCAGTGTATTCTTATACACTTTAAAATAGAACAAAATATCTTTCAGAAGGTAAACTATTCATAACAAAATACATGTCAAACAATTTTTATTGCAGTAGAATTCCTTTGCTATATACTCTCTATATTATGTACAGACTCTTCTTGGTTTGTCTATATATGCACATGTGTACAAATAATCTTAAGATACACATGTAGATACATATGACAAGTATACACCAAGTATACACACAAGTATGGAAAATGTACAGTAGTCAACTTTACAATCATTTTAATAGCTGCACACAAATTAGTGTTCACAGAACTCAAACATCAACGTGGTTCCCTTTCCCCATTCAGACATCCTCTGAATCACTTTTCACTGATCATTTTTAAAAAATACTATCGGCCTATATGATTCACCAATTTTTATTTTTATTTTTACAATAAACTCATAATAAAATATGTCACTATTTCGGCTTTAGAAAAGGTGTGTACAATTAAATTCCACAATTTGTGATCCCTAAAAACATACAATTCATTTTTGTTTTATCAACTTAGTGCAATTATTTGGTGCTGTCCTGCTTGAAGGTTAAGCTAACCCACCTGAGCCACACATTCATTCAAATGCCTGTTTAAAAAAGGTAAAATATAGCAAGATGCTTTGCTGAGCGTTCGTAACGGTCTCGAGGTTCCCGTCCTAATAAATACATTATAAATAACTCGGTGAGAGAGAGGAAAACACTTCACAGGAACCCAGCAAGCAACACAGGGAGTCGGGACCGAAGGCTCCCAACGCCCCATAGAAGCGAAGCCCCGAGGGCCCCGGAGGCC